CAATAGAAAATTATAGACAATTAATTACCTAAAAATCAAAATAATTAAAAGGAAAATCCTAATTTTAGGAATTCTGTAGGAGTAAATCATGCGAGGCAAAAATCACGTGCTCACAATAATGCAGCCAATCTAAATAGTCATCTAATGAAGGAGGTATGCGAACAATTTAAAATCATGCATCGCCATTCTACCCCTTACCGACCAAAAGCCAATGGAGCCGTTGAAGCGACGAACAAGAACATCAAGAAGATTCTTAGGAAGATGATCCAAGGTTTCAGGCAATGGCATAAAAAGTTGCGTTTTGCTGGATACCGCACGACTATTCGCATATCTGTTGGTGCAACTCCGTATCTGCTTGTATATGGAACTGAAGCTGTAATACCCGCTGAAGTCGAAATTCCCTCTCTCCGAATTATTGTGGAATCAGAGATTGAAGACACTGAGTGGGTCAAGACCCGATTAGAACAACTGATGTTGATCGATGAAAAACGGCTAGCAGCAATGTGTTTCGGCCAGTTATACCAGCAAAGAATGGCACACGCTTACAATAAGAAAGTGCGCCCAAGGAAGTTTGAGGTAGGCCAGCTAGTTTTGAAGCGCATACTTTCGCACCAGGTTAAAGCTAAAGGAAATTTCGCACCGAACTGGCAAGGACCCTACATCATCAAGAAAGTGTTACCAAAAGGGGCCTTGCACTTGGTAGATGAAGAAGGACGGGTGCCAGACATGACTATTAATGCAGATGTAGTCAAAAGATATTATGTCTGATATATGGTCACCATAGAACTTTCACGCATTGATTTTCTCAGATCGAGATGACGAAGGCTATCATTTGCTAGATATTCCAAATAGGTGTCACTCTTTTGTTATCCCTTTTGAGCCGTATTTGTCTTCTTTGTTTTGCACCTTCTAGAACCTGTGTACTTGTAAAAAGAAAGAAAGAAAGAAAGAAAAAATAGTCAAACAACAAGAAAGAAAGAAAAAATAGTCAAACAACAAGAAAGAAAGAAAAAATAGTCAAACAACAAAGCTTCAGAGTCATTGAACTATGTCTGACCTGATTCCGAAAGGATACGTAGGCAGCCTTACCCTGGGTTCGGTCCCATCACAAGAAAAATCCATATTCCCAATACTCCAAACTGGGGTAGAAGTTTGTTTTATTTTATGGGTTTTCTGTAAAAACGGTTCCAAAAGTTGTAATTCAGTTCAAGGTTCATTTCGCCTTTTACCTTTCGAGAACTTCTGATCTATTTTTGTGAATGTTTGAAGTCCCCATGCCAAGGGCGTCGGACAACCTCCCTCATGCAGTATCTTAGTCAAAGAAAAGAGAAAAAAAAAATGAGAGAGTCTTATCAGTGAAAATCCGTACAGGCACTATAAGGCGACAGTTAGCAGAGAAATGAGAGTCTTATTGGTGAAAACCCAAATGGGCACCATAAGGCGACGATGAGTAGAGAAATGAGAGAGGTCAGTTAGCGAAAACCCGCAAAGGGCACTACTAGCCGAATTAGGGTCTTCGATACTCCGACATTGAGCAAAACCAAGAGAATTTCAAGATGAACATTTGGAATGGATTTTGAGAATTAGACAGCTCAGACGGATCAGGCGTCCGGTCCAAAATGCATGTCACGATTCATTGAAGTCGGCACATACCTCCAGATAAGTCTCCCTATTCTTTTTCACAAAAGGGAGACCTTTTGTTTAAGCACGGTTCTTTTTCATTTTAAATTATTATTCTGTTTCTTTCTTTCCGTAATTTTTCTTTGAGTCCCTTTTCGGTCTAATCGTACATCAAAAGCAAAGCAAAGAAATGACTGCGAAACTGGCTACAGTTTCCCCGTAATATCGAGCACAATTTGGGGCATATATGGCATTGACGAAGGCACGAATTCATCTGTGATCTCATTTGATAAGGCGAACAAAGTATCTCAAAGAAACTGAAAAGGTCGCCTAAGCGAGACCCGCTTCATGAGAAAAGTTGATAAGCAATACGGACACAAACTGATACTGGGTGCAAGACAACTGAGTTTTATTTTAAAGAAAAATTTCCTTGCCTTAGAGACAAGGGTAGCGGTACCATATCTGGGTATGAAATAGTTGGGGGCAACATTTTTTTTTTTTGATAAACTAACATTTTCATTCATCAAAATTGTTCTGTACATAGTAGGATATGCTGACCAACTCCTTATCTCTTCTTGGACTATACTTAACTCCCACATCTAAGAGATGTCTCTCTATATACTATACTAGTCGGCTATAAGTGTTTATGTCCTATACATATTCTTCCTATATAATAGTCTAAGATAAACTGAAATACACATGAATACAGGATTCTCTAGTAGTCTAACTATGGATATCTATTTAAAGCTTCCATATGTTCCTGCCAATTGCTGTGTATATGGCTTTTGATGTGGACATATGAGGTGATCTTGCGGCATATCTGCTCTGCTGAAGTGCTTCCTCTTTGAAATCTGATTAAATTCCTATCCCTCCATAAACTGTACAGCAGCATGCCAAACGTTGCCGCAATGATGTTGCCAATTCCTTTCTTCTTCCTAGCATGGTAAGTCACCCATTGCAGTTCCTCCTCCCAAGCTTGAATCTGTCTTTGAATTCCCATCCATTTTAGCAATCTTTTCCAGATAGTACTTGTGTAGGAGCACTCAAAGAATAGATGTTCAAATAGCTCTTCTTTCTGACCACATAATACACACACTGCATTTACTTGAATATCTATTTTCTGTAGTCGATCCACTGTTGGTAGTCTCCTTTGAATGGATAGCCACATATTGAATTTGTGTCTAGGATGTATATGAGGATGTAAGATCAAACTTTTCCAGAATACCTTCTGACCCTGAGGAGTTTGCAAGTTATATAGCTTCTTTATACTGAATTTACCTCTTGTGTTCTGTAGAGACTCCAGTCTTTCTTGCACATTGTCTTGTAAAGTAGGTAGATTCAATATAAACTTCCTTTGCTCAATAATCTTCCTCACTACCCAAGCTGCACTCTTAGGTATAGGCATGGTGTCAATGCTCCTGTTCTTTATGTAGTAGGTATGGACCCATCGAATCCATAAGCAGTCTTTCTTCTTTGTGATTGCCCACAGATGCTTCATTATTGCAGCTTTGTTCCAGTTGCACAGGTTTATCACATTTAACCCTCCCATTGTTTGTGGTAAACAGACTCTATCCCATGCTACCAAAGCTCTTCCAGATATATCAGCCTGCCCAGTCCATAAGAAAGTTCTGCATACTGCCTCTATCATTTTGCTTATATTCTTTGGTAGTAAAAAAACCTGAGCCCAATAAGACTGCATCCCAAAGATTACTGACTTGATTAGCTGCAATTTTCTAGCATATGATAATAGTTTTGAGGTCCAACAACTGATCTTTGCAGTAATCTTTTCAACCAATGGCCAACACTGATAATTAGATAGCTTTTTGGAAGCTAACGGAACCCCTAAGTATTTAAAGGGTAAGCTGCCTTCATTGTAACCCAACTCCTGCAAGATAAGTTCCTTCATCCTCTCAGATGTACCTGCAATGTATACTGAGCTTTTGTTAGGATTTGCTTGTAGTCCTGATGCTTTTGAAAATTTCTGGAATGCATCCTGCAGTAACTTAGTTGACTGCAGGTCAGCTCTGCAAAACATCAATAGATCATCAGCAATACACACATGCATCACTCCTAGTTTTTTGCACCTTGGATGAAATGGAACTCTTTATTTGATGCCAGTTGACTAAATTCCCTTTGCAAGTACTCCATAGCTAGCACAAATAAGTAGGGTGACATGAGATCTCCCTGCCTTATCCCCCTCTTGCCTTCAAATGGTTTTGTGAATCCTCCATTTAAGGTCAAGGAGTAGGATACATTTGTTATACACTCCATAATCCAGCATACAAATTTGTGTGGAAATCCCAGTCCTATCATTATCCATAACATTGGAAAGCCAAGGTCTCCAGAAAATGATACAGAGCAACCGAGCATCTCGGTACCACACTAACAGAATCGGTTCTTCGACAGCAGTGGCCGTGAATCAAACTACTCAGGGCATCAAGGCCACAAACCAACCACCACTTTGAAAACTCACAAATTTTTCTTTGTTTGAAGCAGGAACAAAGCAGTGCAGAATGGCGATTCTAAAAGAACGAATGTCACCAAACGTAAGCTCCTGAAAATCTCCATTTTTCTTTTATTTTCAGCATGCATCACTACTGTTCATACCTCCCATTTTCAGCTTAACTCAGGTAGAATCCTTTCGCCTAGGGGGATCCAGCTCATATTCCGGGTAGAAGTACTCTTCGCTCAGGGTGTTTTACGCAGGTAGAATCCTTTCGCCTAGGGGGATCCAACTCATATTTCCGGGTAGAAGTACTCTTCGCTCAAGTTGTTTTACATAGCTTAACTCAGGTAGAACCATTTCACCTAGAGGGATCCATCTCATAGTTTCGGGTAGAAGTACTCTTCACTCAGGTTATTTTACGCAGCTTAACTCAGGTAGAATCCTTTCAACTAGGGGGATCCAGCTCATATTTTCGGGTAGAAGTACTCTTCGCTCAGTTTGTTTTACGTAGCTTAACTCAGGTAGAACTATTTCGCCTAGGGGGACCCAGCTCATGTTTCCGGTAGAAGTACTATTCGCTCAGGTTGTTTTACATAGCTTAACTCAGGTAGAATCCATTCGCCTAGGGGGATCCAGCTCATAGTTGCGGGTAGAAGTACTCTTCGCTCAGGTTGTTTTACACAGCTTAACTCAGGAAGAATCCTTTCGTCTAGGAGGATCCAGCTCATAGTTGCGGGTAGAAGTACTTTTCGCTCAGTTTGTTTTACGCAGCTTAACTCAGGAAGAATCCTTTCGCCTAGGGGGATCCAGCTCATATTTTCGGGTAGAAGTACTCTTCGCTCAGGTTGTTTTACATAGCTTCACTTAGGTAGAATATTTTTCGCCTCGGGGAATCCAGCTCATAGTTGCGGGTAGAAGTACTCTTCGCTCAGGGTGTTTTACGTAGCTTAACTCTGGTAGAACTGCTTCGCCTAGGGGGATCCAGCTCATAGTTCAGGGTAGAAGTAGTCTTCGCTCAGGGTGTTTTTACGTATCTTAACTCGGGTAGAACCGTTTCACCTAGGGGATCCAGCTCATAGTTCCGGGTAGAAGTACTCTTCGCTCAGGGTGATTTACGTAGCTTAACTCAGGTAGAACCATTTAGCCTAGGAGGATCCATCTCATAAATCTGGGTAGAAGTACTCTTCGCTCAGGGTGTTTTATGCAGCTTAACTCAGGTAGAACCTTTTCGCCTAGAGGGATTCAGCACTTTATCAGTAATACAAGGCTCCAACCCCTTGTTACATTTTTTTTGACGAAAATTTGCTTTTATTTCATAAAAAAAGTCATTACATACCCAGATTAACGCTGACCATTAATCTCTAATAGCTATTACCTGTATATCTATCTATGCATGTACTATTTTTAAACTAGTATACTAAGGTATTTTATTTACAAATTCTAATCCTTGTTTCCACTTGATTTTCTTCCTTCCTTGTATGTGTATATGCATTGCCACTTCCTTACACACTTCATCAATGTTGTATCTTCCTTTGTTGAATCACATTGAGTTCCTTTCACGCCATATAGAGTACACGACCATTGCAAAAGCTGTTGTGGTCATTTCTGCCATATAGTCTTTCTTCTTTGCCATGTTATTGTCACACCTCCTTTTTACACACCTACCCCGAAGGATAATGTATAAGGGAGTTTTTCCATTTAA